GAACTGAGTGGCTCTGAAATCACTTTTTACAAACAAGCAAAGTTTCAGTTTAAGATTTATTTGCAAGTTTAAGTTTAATAAAAACTTTAAACTCAGATTCACAAATGAGTTTCCTTTACTAAACTGCATCTGTAGGTCTCTGTTCATAAACATAAAGTAGCCAAAACTAATTTACTATAAAATTAAATAGTGTTTGTATAAATTCAGAAAAAAGACATGTCAGTCACAACTGCATATGTGTACATATTTCTATATTGAGGTCTGTTTACACAAAGTTAGGTTAGTTCATCATTTATGTTGAATAGACTCTCCCAGAATTTTACGCTGCTGCACTGATGTTGAACCGTGTGCTGCACTGGGTCGGTATGACCAACAGGTCAAAACAAGCTCAAAACAAAGTGACCGCTGTGCCCTGATTGGTGTTCTCACTTTGCGCTTCTTTCGTTTTGACATGTTACGTTTTTATACACAGATAAACCAAAAGGAGCGACAGATTTCTCATAATGTGGAGTAAAAGTGAGAGATTTGACTTTGAAATGTAGTGGAGTGAAAGTAAAAAGTCACCAAAATGGAAAAACTTCAGTAAAGACACACAAAAACTACTTAAGTACAGAAACGAATTACATTTACTTAGTTACTGTCCACCACTGGATCACATCTGTATATCGTCGCTGTCCAAAGTAAACCAAGTATCTCCATTTTTGTTGATTTTTTTTGTTTTCTACATCATTTCAACACACCAGTTGTCCTTTACGTCATGCAAAAATTTCATGATGCATGGACCAATAGAAATGCTCTAAAATCACTTGGAGCAAAATCTTTTTACATTGACTTACATTAAAAGATAAGAGTGTTTCTGCCTTCTCCTGTAAAGTTGCACAATTTAAGGACAGCAAAACACATAAGACAAAATCTGACTAACCCCCATCATCGTTTCTCAACATTTGGGGCCCTCATGCAGCTTCGGGACCCCCATCCACATCGATCACTATAGGAAATAAGTTGCAAAGTGGCTTGTTTGGAATTCACTGATTTACATATATGCACCTATTCAGCCCAAAACAGTTTAGCCCCGCCCACTCACACTGAAGTTATGTGGAGTGTTTCAGCCTGGCCTGCTTTGTAAATGAGGCGCAATACAGGACAATCAGAACAGAGGTCGTTTACATAAATCAGTCTTAAAGGCACAGAAACAAAAACAGACTGTTTAATTTAAAGAGACAGAAACAGGCTGGAAACGCTCAACTGCACCGATCAGGCATAACATTATGACCACCTCCTTGTTTCTACGCTCATTGGCCATTTTATCAGCTCCACTTACTATATAGGTGCACTTTGTAGTTCTACAGTTACAGACTGTAGTCCATCTGTTTCTCTGATACTTTGTTAGCCCCCTTTTACCCTGTTCTTCAGTGGTCAGGACCCCCATGGACCCTCACTGAGCAGGTACTATTTGGGTGGTGGATCATTCTCAGCACTGCAGTAACAGTGACGTGGTGGTGGTGTGTTAGTGTGTGTTGTGCTGGTACGAGTGGATCAGACACAGCAGTGCTGCTGGAGTGTTTAAACACTGTGTCCACTCACTGTCCACTCTATTAGACACTCCTACCTTGTCAGTCCACCTTGTAGATGTAAAGTCAGAGACGATAGCTCATCTGCTGCTGCACAGTTTGTGTTGGTCATCCTCTAGTCGTTCATCAGTGGTCACAGGACGCTGTTGGCTGGATATTTTCGGTTGATGGACTATTCTCAGTCCAGCAGTGACACTGAGGTGTTTAAAAACTCCAGCAGCACTGCTGTGTCTGATCCACTCGTACCAGCACAACACACACTAACACACCACCACCACGTCACTGTTACTGCAGTGCTGAGAATGATCCACCACCCAAATAGTACCTGCTCAGTGAGGGTCCATGGGGGTCCTGACCACTGAAGAACAGGGTAAAAGGGGGCTAACAAAGTATCAGAGAAACAGATGGACTACAGTCTGTAACTGTAGAACTACAAAGTGCACCTATATAGTAAGTGGAGCTGATAAAATGGACAATGAGCGTATAAACAAGGAGGCGGTCATAATGTCATGGCTGATTGGTTTATATCGTTATCATGTTACATTTTGTCACGATACAGTTCAATATGCTTTTCTAAACACATCACAAATACGGTCAGTACTAAAATTAGTCCTGTTTCACTGGTTTTAGTTTTAAATATTGAATAAAATCATGTTCACAGTTTTTGATAGTATTTTTTAAAAATGTAGTTCTTTCTTTCTCTGTTCATAGCTGATCAGATGTCTGAACAAATAAATATTGATATATTGTGTATTGTGAATTTTTTTTGAAGTATTGCAATATTATACAGTGATAAAAAGATTTTGTTTTTAAAATGATTTATTTCACTTGTAAATGATTACAGATCAATGCAGTGAACTGTAAATGGTTTAAATGAGCATGAAGTTTATTATGTAATTGTACAAGGTCTCAGTATGAACCTCCTCCAGCTGTACAGACAACATCAACACCATAGTCAAACTCATCCCATAAGCTCTTTTGTAATAATAGATAAAAGATAAAATGCAGAAATGTTGATGATGGTCACTGTTATTTAGCAATAATATTCACAGGAATTTTAAATCTGAATATTAAAATAGTAGCTGAAATTGTTACAGAACGCTTAGTGCACTTCTGTGCTCTGTGAAAGTCTACTGTCAGAGTTCTTCAGTAAAGACAGTTATTCTGCACAGAACCGTGCACATTTAAAGAACCGTTTGTATGCTTAAATGGTTCTTCAGATCCATAGAAAATGTGTTGTATATGGTTCTATATAGAACCTTTTTGAAAATGGTTCTATGTAGCACCAAAAAAGAGTTTTTCTCTTGTTACAAGCTTGACATAAAAATAACAAAATTGTTATCTTGGAATAATGAGTTACTTATCTTGTTCTCTCAAGATAAAAAGATGTTATCTTGAGACAATGAGTTAATTATCATGAGGTAACAAGTTATTTAACTTATCTCAACATAACAAAATTGTTATCTTGAAATAACGAGTTACTTGTTATCTCAAGATAAAAAAGATGTTATCTTGAGACAATGAGTTAAATTGTCATGAGGTAACACGTTATTTATCTTATCTCAACATAACAAAATTGTTATCTTGAAATAACAAGTTACTTGTTATCTCAAGATAACAAAATTGTTATTTTGAATTAACGAGTTAATATATAATAGTATAATATTATAATAATATATAATATATATTAGATATATAATAATATATAATAATATAATATATAATTATAACAGCTCATGGCCTCTCTGGATTTCCGTAAAGAACCATTTAAGCATGCAAATGATTCTTTGTGTTCGTGGTTCAATATAAATCCATTGTCTACTAAAGAACCCTCGAAGGACCGCTATTTTAACAGTGAATGGAGGTCATTTTTGCACGATCTCTTACTTTAAATGCACACATTTCACGAAAACACACCGTCAGTGTAAAAACTCTCAGAATTGAAATACAGCTTCTTATTACAGGGTGAAAACTTTTCCTTTGATGTGAAAGGTTGTACTGTAGTCTGTGTCCACAAGATGGCACTGTAGTCCAGATCTTGCAACGAAAGAGCTTCTCACAGACTTAGTACCGCATAAACGCCATCGGTTCGCGGTTCCGGCTCGTTTTCTCGGCGGTACGTGCTGACATGTGCAGGTGAAAAGCACGAACTCCTGAACTCCACTGCGCGGTTTAGTTCCGTCTCTCTCAGATCAAGAGTCACGCAGCGATTTGCCGAACCGACTCAGTTCTTTCGAGTTGTGCGCTTCAGTGAATCGAACATCCGATTCAATGAATTCAGTGAATCATTTTCGTTCCCGGGGTCTGGAATAATTATTCACCTCGAGTTTGTTCTCATTTCTCTGTATGTGATTATGTATTCATATCGTCTCAGTAGCTGCAGACACAGACACGACTACAGAGAGCGAATACAGGCTCGTTCACAGAATTGTTTGTTTGTTTGTTTATAATAGTTTTTAACAAGTTATTCTGAGATGATAAGTCATTATTTTGAGATATCTCTTTATTCTGCGATACTACGTCATTATTTTGAGATACTAAGTCATTATTTTTTGATATCTCATACTGAGATACTACGTCATAATTTTGAGATACTAAGCCATTATTCTTAGATATCTCATTATTCTGAGATACTACATCATAATTCTGAGATACTAAGTCACTACTTCGATAATTCTGAGATAGTAAGTCGTTATTTTGAGATCTCATTTTTTAATCTCTTTATCCTGAGATACTACGTCATTATTTTGAGATGCTGTCATTATCTTTTGTTATCTCATACTTCTGAGATACTGTGTCAAAATTTTGAGATACTAAGTAATTATTTTGAGATATTAAGTCACTATTTTGAGATATTATTCTGAGATGTCATTTTTTCTGATACGAAGTCATTATTTTGAGATAAGTCATTATTTTGAGATACTAATTCATTATTTTGAGAATCAATGTTATTTTGAGATTCTTTATGCTTTTGAGATGAAACTATAAATACATATAAACATATTTAAATATGAATAATGATGTATGCTTGTAATATTGATATAATATGATTTTATACTATTCATAAAAATAGTGTTTCTTGAAACAACGAGAATGTTTTTGGAAAGCATCTCGGAATAATGAGAAAATATCTCAAAGTAATGACTTAGTATTGCAAAATAACGTCATAGCCGTTCACTAAAGGATGAAAAAATAATTAGCTGCTGGATTTATTATTATTATTATTATTATTATTATTATTATTATCATTATTATTATTATTGTTGTTGTTGTTGTTGTTGTTGTTGTCTAAGTGGCGGGAATGGGCTTCCATAACTGCCCTGACGTAAACATAGACCAAAAAAGTTAGCTTGTGTTGGACTCGAGAATCGATTCCTCCGATTCACTGAACAGAACCAGTTCACATAACCGATTCATTCACGAGTCGGATATCAGTTGCGCAGAAGGCGAAGCGGGAATCAGACGCGGAGAGAGAGAAAGAGGGAGAGAGAGAGAAAGAGAGAGAGGGATTTACAGACGGGACACGGACAGCTGAAAGAAAAAGTGGAGGATAAAGTCCAGCAGAGGTGAGTGAGAGCGGAGCACCGTCCGGCCGGTCTGCCGTGCGTGACTGACCCGGTTCAGAGCTGCGTTTTTCACGTGGCGTTGTTGTTCTGAAGGACTTCAGACTCAGTTTGGACGAGGCTGAAGTCGGGTTTCTATTCGCCGCGTCTTGTTCGAATCTTCCCGTTCCACCTTAAATGGTGCAGCAGTTCCATTCTGGCGCCTCACTATTTAAGGTGGAACGGGAAAATCTGAATAAGAAACTGGGCGAATAAGAAGCTGCGTTCAGCTGGGTCGGTGGAGTGGCTCGTGTGGGGTCTTTCATTCATACTGTAAGGGGGGTCTATTACACAACACGCGCGCGTGCAGTTTTAACCCACCAGTGTCCATACATGAAGTTTTACACTACACTGGTTTCTAAGTTGTCTAGTCTGGTGACATCCTGTTTAAATACAAGTAATGTGTGGCCACGACTTAGTAAGGCATGGGAACAAGATAATTAACTCGTGGCAATGACTTAGTAAGGTGTGGGAACGAGATCCTAATGCATGGCCATCACTTTCGTACCCACGCCTTACTAAGTCGTGGCCACAGCTTAATTATCTCATTCCCATGCCTTACTAATTTGTGGCCACACATTCGGATCTTGTTCCCACACGTTAATAAGGTGTGGCCACACATTATTTCTATTTATACAGGATGTCACCAGCAGGGCTCCGTAGTTCTCTGTGCACAAATCTGAAGAAATGGTTCAAACTGGTCAAACATTTGAGCTAAAAAAGGGAAATTCATCACTTAATTTATCATAAAATTCAGTTTTTTGGACAAAACAGTGGAAAATCTGAATTGTGAATGAAAATATGAGCTAGATGTGAGATAAGCTGTGTAGAGAACTCTGTGTAGGTCTTGTATTGTGCCAGATGTTCCTTGTATAAGCTAATGAAGTTGCACTGTAGCTCTGGCTTCAGCAGGTCAGTCACTGAACTGGTGGCTCACAGAAACAAGTAGAAGCCTGCCGTCTGTCCATTATATCCCCCTTTCATCTCTTCTCTTTCATCCCTTCTGCTCCTTTTCCTTTCCGCTCTTCTCCTCGGTTCTGTTCCTTTCAGTTCTGTCCTACACACTCTCTGATTTTGGCTTAAAGGGCCCATAGCCTACATTTTTGCATTTTCATTTCATTTTTTCCACTTACAGCAGGAGTGCTGAACTCAACCACTGAGAGGGCCTTATTAAAAGATTTCAGCAAATCCGTGGACCATAGAACACTTATGTTTTATTTCATTTTTAATTAACACTTTTCTATAAACCGAACTGACCAAATATCAAAATTTTAATGTCCCCAGGTTGTAGGTCTTTTAACTGATAATGATGTTGTAACTGATTTCATGGCTTTTCTTGAGTTGGCTCAATTTGAGGACACCAGAGTTCACACAACTCAACCTTCTTAGTTGAGTCAAAAATTCTCTTATTTTTTAGTTCTGTGTCTCAGTTAATAAAATGATCTTGTTTTTATACTCAACTTCCCCACCAGCCAGGACTCTCTCCATCACACAATCCTGCTAGACATTCTTCCTCTTGGGTACTCGCTTATATATGGCTATGGCATTGCTGGGGCTCAAACTCACAACCTCCTGTCGGGGTGACGGCTTAGTCCACTGCACCACTCAGGAACACATGAAGCAGCTCAGGTTTTGTGTCTTTAAGTGTTTAAAACACTGGAGAAAATTTGTTTTGACTTTAAAGGCTGGCGTCGTCTCGTGTGGTTCAACTGTCTAATAACTCATCCCAACATCAGGAGGTTGTGAGTTTGAATCCCAGCAATGCCACAGCTGTCCATATCCAGAAGCGCAAGAGGATAATATGCCAGACGGGACTGCGTGATAGAAGAAGCGCCAGCTAGTGGAGAAACTTAGTAAAACACACAAACTCAGTTTTGTTTATCTAACTGAGATGCAGACCTAGAAACAGTCGTTGGGAGAATTTTCGACTCAACTAAGAAGTTTGAGTTGTGTGTCCTCGAGTTGAGTCAACTCAAGAAAAGCCACGTAATCAGTTACTGTATCATTTTAAGTTCATGACTACTGGCATCTTTTCTTTACTGCAAGTTCATTAAAACTTGGGCTCAGTTTTGGAGCTGCTGAGCTGACGTTCAGTGTTCAGAGCTGACGTTGGCTGAACTGCAGTTAGTTGTTTGGTGATACGACTGGTGTGGAACCATATAGAACTGAGGTATAACTGCTGTACCATAGACTGTTGTTGGGGTAGGAGAATCAGAGCGCACATTATGTTGCAGTGCATGCTGGGCACTGTAGTGCAGTGCATTGTGAAACGGGCTAATACGACTGTGGAGTACGTTCTGAAACTTGACGTGGTACATCAAGTGAGGAAAATTCAGTTTTCCATAATATGAGCCCTTTAAAGGCCAGTTGGACACAAATGAATCCTGTAGGAGTCAGTTCAACACTAGTTTGACTGCTTCTTAATGAACGCAAACCTTAGCTGTACTTTCCTCATTTATGGCCAGCGGGAGGAGCAGGAACAGAGATGACCTTTAATTAAGGAGTCAGGAGGAAAAGCAGGGTTTAAGCGAGGAAACAGTCACTAGCACGGATTGCATCTGTCTGCTGCGCCACTGAGGAAAGAAATATCTCTGCCTGTCTGTATTCATCCGTCATTAGGGCTTTAAAGTAGTTACGGGGGATATTTTTAGCCGAGAGAATAGCAGTGTTGTTCCCTCAAAACTGTTCAGAATCCTTCTCATGTTGTGTTTATGACAGCAGAGCTTCTTGCTTCCTCTGATTTCAAGGTTTATTTACTTGTGCAAGTCCAGAGTTATTACTTTCCAAAGCAGCCCAGACAAGTGAGCTGCACAGGCAGTGCACCCTGTAATTGTACAGACAGTTTATAGACCCTAGCTGTGTCCCAATTCAGGGGCTGCGTCCTTCGGAGGCTGCATTTGAAGGCCGATTGTGTCACAGCGGTGTGACTAGGCTGTCCCATTTCGAAGCCTCCTTCATATGCAGCTGAGAAACGTGTCCTTCTATTCCGTGGCAACAAAGGATCCAACGGGTGGATCCTTTGGCAGCCAACATATCCTGAGGTTCATTGAGTGCCGGCAAGGATTCGAGAACATGGTGGCGTCAGCAGAGGAGCGAATGGCGACTGAGGAGACACTTTTAAGTGTTGGGTTTAAATTGAGGCGAGTAGCCAATGATACAAACGTTAAAAAACAACCCAATCTCATCAGTGAGTGTGTTTACATGCACTTAATAATCTAATAATGGGGAAACTCCAGGTCTACATGAGTCAGACAGTAATCAGATTTCTACTTTGCAACCAGCCAATAAACTCACAGAAGAAGACGTGACGAAAACGTAACGTAAAACATCACGTCACTTTACCTAAAAATATGAACATACATCATCTAGAAGATGAAGAATATTTAAATACTTTATTTCGTGTTTGGTTTCAGCGCCGCTCCAAAAGTGTTGCCGTGTCTCGCGGCGACGCTGCTCGCTTATTTCCAGTACCGCCGTCTGTTTTCACACATGCACACACTGAGAAATATGAAAGAAATCAGAGTAAGAGTTTACAGCACTGAGAAATCTGATCACTGAGCTAAAATCCAGCCTCTTTATCGTATTTCTTAATCAGATTTCTAGATCGGAGTGTGCTGTTTACATGACCATTTGAATAATCAGATAACTGCAGAAGTCCGAAGGTGATCGGATTATTGAGTGTATCTAATAAATGAAAAAAATCAAACAAAAATCAGAGTTTCTGTCTCCGTCTTTGAAGAACTTAAAAAGAACTTGACAGGAACGGCGTTTCATGAATCAGCGGTCAAGCAAATCTGATATTTTCAAATCCGACCTGAGCCACTTTCATATGTGGTCCTAGATCGGATACGTATCCAATTCTTGGCCATGCGACCTTAATGTGATGCTCAGATCGGAATTCATGTGCTTTTTTTCCACTGCGCGTGCGCCATTATTCAGCGTTACCATGGCAGCAGCGCCGAACAGAAGTTAAAGCCTATAAACGGTGGAAAAGCAGCTCATCTCACTTTTTTCTCCTTCGTCTCGCTCTAATAATGAAGCTGAGAGCTGATCAGAGTTAATGATCTTCTCAGTGAAGCTCGTTCTGCTCGTTAGTTTGTGCTGATGATCACGTGATTCATTCACGTGACGTTACTGAGTGGGATGTGATCATGAGGGTCATTTCAGAACGCCGGTTCGTCACATTAATGACAGATTTGAGTCACTTACCTAAACGAGTGTGAACCATCGTGTCAGAGAGATCGGATTTTAGCAGTGAGGCTTGTAATGTGAACGTGATGTTTGATCTGTGCCGTCCCAAAAACTCAGTCAGTTTGCGACTGTTGTTACAGCGCAGTCTCTGTCTGACAGCAGCCTTACAGATGAGAAGTGGAAGTGCTGAAGCTAAATATACAGAAAGGATTATCAAATCCTATGCATGCTGCTTTGCATTCATCTTAATTAAAAAAATTAAAGACTAAAATTAAAGCTAAACACCAAAATGTCCCCAAAATGTCCCACGCTTGACAAACGAAAAGCCACGTTGTCCCCAAACTTTTGCTGTACAGTGTAAATAAACAATGCGATGAATAGAAAAGCGAGAAAAGCCTTGTCCAATCTGTCACCATCCGGCTGGACCCCATCTCTGGTGTAATTTAATTTAAAGGCTGTTACGCAATGACTCACTCATATCCCCAGGCTATCACTGCAGTCTGTCACTGGCTTATTTGCACCAGAGCCCCGGGCCTCTCTGGAGCTGTGGGACACGAGAGATCAGTTCTGCTACAACTGACTGTGCAATTACAATAATCATTAGACCAGCAGACAGATGACTGAGCAGAATATGACTGACCTTTGATAATAAGCATTTTGAGTGTAGATCTGTTAGCAATTTGGCCCAAAGTTAAAGTTACACAATTTTCCCTTTATTCCAAATCGATCAGCCAAGACAGGTTTGCTGTCTGAAGTTTGCTTCTTTAGTTCTG